CTCTCGGGCTAGGGGACAACCTGGCGGCAGTGAAGGAAGGCGAGGAGGGGCCTGAGTCTCTGGGCGGTCTGATGGAGCTGAGGCTCCCGACCAGCCCGGCCACCTGCCTGTAGACACTTCTGTCTACTGTGGGTCCCGCTCCCCTGCAGCTGACCCTGCATTTTACCTGTGCTGCGCTTTTATAACACTGTGTACATCACAATCACAAGCAGAGTGTAGACTATGAAAAGGATGCTATTTTTCAAATAACCTTTTTATTTTAGAGTAAGTGTAACTTTATAGAGATGTTATGAAGATAGTAAGAGGGTTTCCATATACCCCACACCCAGTTTCCCGTATTATTACTGCAATATCTGACATTACTGTTGTACATTTGCCACAATCAATGAACCAATATTGATACTTTATTCTTAACTAAGCCCCTGCTTTGTGATGGTATTTCTAAAATCAGTAGACGTTTGCCATGTTCTTCGTAACCCTGTGCATCCGGCACACCCTGTGGTATGCGTTCCCCACGGGGAGAGCCTATCACAAGCCCCGTCGGCCTTCTTGCTAGTCACATAGCCCAGGAATGGGCACTGACACCGGGGGACGGGAGGCCAAGCTTCCCACGTTAGAGTCTGAGGAGTTTAAGTGCGGAGCAGTTACTATTAATGAGAAGGAGAGTGGCTGGTATCACCAGGGATGAGCTCGGAAGGCTTTCTGGAGGTGGTGCCAGGGAAGCCAGGTATAATGGAGTCTCTGCTAAGAGAGGCAGGGCCTGATGAACACAAGAGTCTGGCATTTCCAAGGTAGAGACTAGCCCCTGTGCAGCCCCAGGAGTGGGAAGGAGAGAGGGCAAGGAGTGGGTGGTAGTGAGGTAGAATCTGTTTTGCGTTAGGAATGTGGGCTGAGCGCAGCACAGAGCAAGGCTAAGAGTCAGGTTGGTGGGCGGGAGGCGTCGGCCCCAGTCTTGGGTACTTTCCTTGTTGCAGAGCCTGTCTGTACTTCTCAAAGCCCAAGGCGCTGTCAGTTCTGCTGGGCTCTGTGTATCCTGGCTCCTCATTAAAGCAGTGGGATTTTCCTTGCCCTGCGGGAGCCAGTGGATCTGGAGGGCAGCCATAATTCTGGAGAAAATTCAGAGCAAGACTGCCCTTTCCAGGACAGGCAACAAGATAAGAGCCATCAGGAGAATGAAGGCCTTTTCTGGAACATGTACCGAACGCACCTGCTGCATGCATCACACATCCCATGCTGACAGCCCATGTTCAAATTCTGATTCTCAGCAAGGAGTGAGAAGGAGGTTTTGTGTGGCTGTGCAGGGAAGACGCCCATGAACTGAAGGCATCCAGAAATCCCCTGCACTTCTTCTCATTTGGGAACACGAGCCCAGGGAATCATGCCCAGTGGCCCAGCATGCTGGCCATCATCTAGGTCTAGTTTGTAGAAAAAGAGGCACAGAACAAGGAGGTCACAGAGAGTTCTGAGTGGAAGCAACATAAGGTCCCACAAATACCGAGGGTATCGAAACCACCTGTTAATGTGCCCAGCCTGTGAGCATCCCTGTGGATAGAGGCTGGGTCTTGTTCCTTTTGGATCTTCACATCTAGCCAGGGCCTGGCCTGCAATATGTGCTCAATAGATGTGTTGGATGAATTGTCCACCTGACCACCTCATTCATGGCAGAACCAGCTGGAACCTGGGTAGCCTGAGCCTTGGGTCTCAGCATCCTTTTCCCCCAGTTGCTTCTGGATCTCCAGCCTAGCAGAAGTTCCAGCCATTTTCTGGTCTGCCAGGCGACCTGCTCCTCCACCCCAAGAATATCTCCACTCACCTCCTCCCCTGGTGGCTCAGCTGAGCTGATCGGAGCCTGGGGCCGGCAAAGGCAGCTGTGGTCGCAGGGCTGTGGCTATTTGGGCTGGTTCACATCAATCAGGCTGCCCCCTGAGCTCTAGGAAGTCTCCTTGTAAATGGGGAGGTATAAATGAGTACAGGCAGCGTTATTCAAACCTATAATTTTCCATGGGTCCATAGAGGACAAGGGTCTCCCCACAGGGTACACATACCACAGGGTACTCAAGATTGCATGGGCTTAGGAAGAACATGGCAAACTTGTATTGACTTTAAAAACCCCATCCTAAAACAGGGCCTTAGCTAATAATAATGTATCAGTATTGGTTCATTACCTATGACAAATGTACCATAGTAATGTAAGATGTTAATAATAAGGAATACTGAGTGTGAAGTATAAGAGAACCCTTTGCCTAGAGGATGAAACCCAAAAGGTTTAGGGTGGAATTAAGGTCCTCTAAAATCTGGCTGGAGCCCCCCCATGTCTCCAACAACTTTCACACTCTCATGTGAATCTTCACTCTGATCACCCACTGCTCTCAAATACCCATGGTTCATGCAAGTTTAATATTTGCCATTCCTCTGCTCAGCGTTTCCCAAGCCTCTGCTCAGATCTTCCTACGCCTGGGAGTGCCGTCTCCCACCTCTACCAACCCAAATCCTCCTGTCCCCTAAATCTGAATCAAATCCTACCACCTCTAAGTTTTCCTAACTCCCCTTCTACCTGCTTGGAGGTAATAAAACTCTCTCCTTCCTCCGTATTCCCATGGCCACATTCTCTCCCCAGCAGCACAGTTAGTTCTGTGTACATCTGTGCCCAGCAAAAGACCATGAGCTGCAAGGGGCAGGGCGCTGCCTCCCTGCTTTCCGCTGCCCTCCCTCACCCAGGGTGCTCCTGGAACACCCTACACTGAGGAGGGCTGGGGGGGGGGTTAGTGGTCAACAGCATTTTCTCTGTGTTGGAAGAGTGAGGCTTTCTTATTGGTTCATGTTCTGAATGAGAACATCCCAAATGGACCATCCTTCCTGTAAGCTTGGCGAGACCACTACTGTGCAAGACAGAGAGGATCTCGGGAACCATGAGATTGAGCAGAGATGATATGAATCAGCCAGTCAGGATGAGGAAGCTGCTTGGAGCCCGGGCTGGGAGAAACTGCGTGGCCCATTCTCTGGGAAAGGTCACCTGATCCCCGAGTGGGCAGGAGGACAGAGTTGTGAACTCGCAGGAGGCTCAGAGCCCAAAGAGGAGAGGGAGCAAGTCAAGGCATCCCCATGAAGCGACCATCCCCTCCCCCTCCTCTCTTCTTGTCCCCATGTCCGCCGCCCTCCTTTCCCCTCCGCTCGGAAGGGAGGAAGGCAGTCATGACAGCACACAGGAGAGCCCTGGGCATGCAGATCTTCCCTCTTTGGAATCCTCTTCAATACCCTTGTCCAGATGGGCTCCAAATTTACCATGCTAAACTTTATCTTGAATACAAGTGGAAACAAAACCTGTAAAGTCAGTATTGTTGGTAAACCATGTCTGGCACAAATGAATGATTTGTCAAATGAATGTCTAAAGTTGCACCCCCTTGGATGCTCTCCCTGCAGCAGGCCACGACGAAGCTGGTGACGCCGCCATCCCGTCATGCACAGACGTGGCCACCGCCTCGGTCTGCTCCCTCTGCCCTCCTGGGTGTCCCTAGAGAGGCTCCCCTGCAGGCCCTGGAGAAACCCAGTGGCCCCCAGAAGGCCACTGAGCCCCAGAGCTGTAACAGAGCTAGATCCCATCAGTGGCCTTCTCCCAACATCCTCCATGCCACCCCTGCCCCTTCCCTCTGTGCCTTGTCCCTCTGAATGCCGCTGGGATCCGTGGCTGGAAGGCGCTTGGCAGCTCTGTGGGTGTCCCAGGCAGCTGCTACTTCCCTAGACTCTGGGTGCTGGTAACCGTCACCCCGACACAACTGTGATCCTTGGGCTTGGAACCAGATTCATTAAATCCATCCATCTTCCTCTTCCTCTCCTGACGGGGTGGGGTGGACTGGGTTCTGGGAAGCGGCTGGTTCCCCACCACCCACAACGCTTGACTTCTGGCTCTGGGCAGGAACAACGAGACAGCCTGGGGTAAGCTGTCCTGCTTCCCTGAGAAGGCCCATGGCACCGGCCTGCAAAACACACCAGCTCATCCTCCATCGGGTCAGAGCCCCCGGTCTCAGCAGAGAGTGCGGGTTGTTCACATAAGGAAGAACTGGCCAGAATCACGAAGACCCCTAAACCAATCCTGTTTGGCTTTGCAGAAAGATAATAGTCTTTACTTTTCCCGCAGCTGACTTCCTAGCTCCAGTGACTACTGATGTCCGTGCCCTCCCCGGCAGGGACGGATTCCTGTGCGGCCCCGCTACAGACAAGTCTGCACACACAGTCCTGGGGAAGCAGCTGAGGGGCCATTCTCTGAGAGGTTTCTAAAAAGGAATAGACAAGAGTCTCGGTGCTGTGTGTATATTTTCTCTGCTTTGGAAACAAAACCAGTCATAAAGTCCCAGTGCTGGAAGTGGACTTTGAGACCATTGAATCTGAGCTCCTTCCTCTCCACCTAGACCAGGCGAGCGGAGCCCGCAGGCAGGCGGGCGGGGGTGGGGGGGCCTGCAGCCGGATCGGGGCAGCACATCTCCACTCGTCACACACCCTCACTCCCCGACACCCACCGGCTCTCCCAGCGCCCCTCGCCCGACGGCTCTGCAACTCCACCCAGACATTTCTACCCAGTTGCTATTTTTTTTGCACCTGCTGGGTGTGTCTTTTTTGTATTTGTCATTGTGTACATTTTAATGGCATATATCCTCTATTAACCTATAGGCTGGAAAAAAACGGGTCTTTTGGGTTTCTTCCTGTAAAATCTGTGTTAATGACACATCAGTGACTTGGCACAAAGTACCTGATGACTTCTAACTAACCTCCCCCTGGCAACCATCTCAGGTGTTCCCCGCAACATCCAGGGTTCAAGTACTGGCTCTGGTACTTTCTAGCCATGTAACCATGGGCAAGTGATATAACTTCCCTCTGGAAGTGGTACCAAGGAGTGGCTTAGCAAGAGAGGGCTTTAGCCCCCACACCTTCCACAGTCACCCCAGAAACATGCAATGTGTAAAGTGAAAGCAACGAACAGCAAAAATCAGCTTCAGGACAAAATCTCCTGGTACTCTGCAACCAGATTGTACCTTATAAATCCTCCTGTTTATTAAAATTCTAGAGTTGCCACTGTTCCCTTCTTCTCAATTTCCTCATTTGGAAAAGGGGGAAAATAATACCTTATAGGGTTATTAGGCAAGGTAAATATGCTAATCCACGTAAAGCACTTGGCACTTTGAAAAACTGCTCAGTACACGTCAGCACCAGCACCATGACTGGGGGTGGAAATCAATGACAAGTAAAACTCGGTCCTCACTTGCAAGGTGCTCACAGATCCACTGGAGAGACAGAGACTGTCAAATGACTGTGTGATATGCTCCATGACTCCCTCCTTTTCAACAGCAGGATGGAGAAGATGACAATAACCACAAGCTGTTTGAGGAGGTCTGGGAAGATTTCACCACGGGTAAGATGCTCGAGCTAGAATGTGGAGTTTGCTAAGTGGGCACGTGTGTACCACACTAGCCAAAAGGAAGCCCCTGCGAGAGGAGCCAGAGGTTTACAGCTGCTCGGCACCTTCAGGGCATGTGGGTGATGAAGCAGGGAAGCGGAGAGTAGCCCGCAAGGAGACTGGAGAAAGAGACAGTGTGTTCAGGAGGACAGGGCATGAGGCTGGAGTCAGCAGGACTCAGGTTCCAATCACAGCTCCATCACCGGTGGCTGCAGGACCACGTCCCTTTACCTCACGGAGAACCCTCCGGACGGCAGCTGCAGCTGGGGAGGGGGACATCCTCCAGGCTGTGGCAGCATCCCAGGAAAACGCTGATGAGGGGCAGAGAGCTGGTGGAGGTGGCGGCAGTGCCCACAGAAGGAAAGGGTTGAGGGGCTCGGTGAGCTGGGAGGCAACATCAGCCCTGGTGGCACTTTAGATGAAGTGAGTGGTGGCGAGGAGGAATTGAGGGTGAAGTCCTTGCCAGCTCAAACTACATGGGCATTTTGGCCATGAATCCAAAGAAAAGAAAACCGGAGTGCATGATAAAAGTTAGCATCGTCACTGCTTTTGTCATCGCTAAGCTTTTTTTTTGGCAAGAGCCTTGCACTGTCCCCTCCGTCCAGGATGAATAAGCTGAGGCCCAGAGAGGCAAAGTTACTCCCCCAAGATCATGGGGGGGTGGAGGATGGTGGGCACGACAGGCAGTGGGGTGGAAACTAGTACTGGGGACTCCTTGGACAGGTAAAGCCAAGGTCATTGGGTCAGTGGCCATGTGTAGAAATAACTGTGCATTTGAGTTTTTAAAACCATGTTATGTGCTATTTAAATTGGTCTTAAAATGGTGTTTACTGCAGAAGGGGATTGGGCCCTTTCACAAGAGGCCAGTTGATATTAGGGACCAGGTTATAAAAATTGTTACCTGAGGCCAGGTGTAGTGGCTGGCTCACACCTGCAATCCCAGCACTTTTGGGAGGCCAAGGCAGGAGGATTGCTTGAGCCGAGTTTGGACCAAACTGGGCAACATAGCAAACTTCTTCTCCTCAAAAAATAAAAAAATTAGCCGAGTATGGTGGCCTGTGCCTGTAGTCCCAGCTACTCAGGAGGCTGAGGCAAGAGGACCACTTGAGCCCAGGAGTTTGAAGTTGCAGTGAGCTATGATGACACCACAGCACTCCATCCTTTGTGTCTAAAAAAAATGTAAAAAAATACGTATAATCCCATCGC